TGGAGAGCTGCCAGAGTGAGCAAGTTGCCCAGCTTCCCCAGAATAATGCTTCCCTTCTCCCAACACTGCTCTGGCCTCAAAGGCTTAGGGGTTTAGCAGACCCGACTTGAGGTGCCACAAGACCCCTGGAGGACTCCATCCCTGGCCACAGACTGTTTACTTGCTTCTGATTGGGAACATCTTTCTCCTTGACAAATCTAATTTGGGAGCTGTATTGGGTTTCTGTGGCCAGGTCTTGTTAGCAGGGGGACTACAGGGGTGGCCTCTGTTAGAAGCTGCTAGAAGTTTCCCTCCTTTTGGCAGAGACAATGCCAGCCAGCTCCAGGATGGACCTGCTGCTGGACAAGGCTGAACCAATCAGTAACAATAGTAATGCCTCCCTGATAACATATTTAAGCAGGGAAAGAAAGTTATTGCACAGAGGAAAATTTCAGCCAGGGAAGGGCAGAGTGAGAAGATGGGAACAACAAGGTAGACACCAAGGTCAGTGCAGAAGGAGGGGCAGGAGGTGCTCCAGGCACCAGAGCTGAGGTTCCCCTGTTGCCCCTGTTGCAGACCATGGTGAAGCAGCTGTGCCTCTGCAGCCCATGGAGGAGAAGTGGGCTGCAGAGATCCACCTGCAGTCCATGGAGGAGCCACAACAGAGCAAGTGGATGCCTGAAGGAGGCTGTGACCCCGTGGGAGGCCCATGCTGGAGCAGGGTCTTGGCAGGGACCTGCTGCCCATGGAGAGAAGAGCCCATGCTGGAGCAGGTTTCCCTGGCAGGACTTGTGGCCCTGTGGGGGACCCAAGCTGGAGCAGCTTGTTCCCGAAGAACTGTATCCCATGGAAATGGGATCCCCGTGGCAGCAGTTTTGTGAAGAATTGTTGCCCGTGGGACGGACTCATGCTGCAGAGGTTTCTGAAGGACTGCCTGCTGTGGGAGGGACCCCACAGGAAGCAGGGGAAGGAGTGCTCTCCCTGAGCAGCAGCAGAAACAACAACTGACCCTAAGACCCTTTCCCTGTTTCCCTGCACTGCTGGGGGAAAGAGGAGGTAGAATTCGGAAGGAAGGAGAGGTGGGGGGAAGGTGTTTTTAAGTAATTTTTTCTTCTCACTGTTTTGCTGAGATTATGTTAATAATAAATTTAGTTAATATCTCCTCTTTGAGTCTGTTTTGCCCATACTGGTGATCAGTAAGTGACCTCTCTCAGCTCTTAACTCCTGAATCCTTTGTTGGATTTTCTCTGCTCTATCCAGTTGCAGAGGGGAGTGAGAGAGAGGCTTTAGTGGGTACCTAGCATCCCTGAGAGGCCTGCAGAGCAGCAGAGACCAGGACATGGCAGCACAGCCCAGGGCACAGGACATGTATCCCTGGGCTAAAGCCAGGAGGAGGCTGGAGCCGGCGAGGCACCAGGGCAGGAGGCAGCCAAGCCCCCTGCCATGGGAACACCAGAGCCCCCAAGTGCTCACCTCTGCCACGCACTGGTTCTCATTGTGCCAGTGGAAGAACAGTGGCACGAGGCTGTGATGCACCTGCGTATTTGTTCCCTCTTCCACAAGCAACTGCATGACCTCCTGGGAGAGGCGAATGGAAAGCAGCTGCACATGGGTGTTTTCCTGGTGCAAAAGAAGAGAAAAAGGCCTCAGAACTGGCTGCTCCAGGCCCAGCAGGCACAGGCACAGGCCTGAAAACCCACAAGGTACAAAGTGTCCAGGCAACAGCAGGCACCCAGAGCCTTACGTTATCAAAGAGTGGCCGGAGCGCCTCAGCCAGCTTCAGGGCAGTGGAGCTGAATGCTTC